TTATTTTTGATTATATTTTTATCATATAGTCGTATTACATTATGACACTGATGAGCATCTAATTATGCTAGCAATTCTCTATTGTCCCATTGACACCAACAACCTAACAATAAAGGAGTTTATACAACAACTTACAATAGACTTACAAGAAGCAAGGCAGTGCCTTCTTATTGCATAGAATTAACAAAAGCAATATGTAAATAATCATTGGCAATACAAGACTTTCTAGAAGGGTGATTAAATACTACTCTGTAATGCCAACTTGCCACTTGCTACATCAACCCAAATCTGTAAATTGCTACCTCAATGGCTTGGATCTTTCTACATTTCTATAGTAATTTCTGATGTCACATACATCCTCAAGCTTCTAACACATATTTCAATCCATCCAATCTTCCATGTTTCACAACTGAACAAATTTCATACCAAGCCAAAGTGCTTTTTGGATTGATATCAACGACCACCACGACCAGTTGAAATTGATGACCAACAAGAATATGACGTAGACAGTATTTTCAAGCATTGCTACCTTTGCCATGACAGTGGATATTCACAACTTTAATACAAAGTTCTTTGAAAAGATTATCTCATTTACGATGCAACATGGAAACTTACACAAAACCTCACCTATTGCCAAGAGACAATTTTGAGATACAAATAGGAGAAAAATGGAGATGTTCCTCATTAGTTGAGGAGAATTAATTATAATAGGATATAGATAAAATATTTGTATTGTTGATGCATAGGGATAGATAGTTGGAACCATGGAAGTTTCTAGAATTGAGGTTAGGTTAGTGGACTACTTAGGATCTACTATGGAATAATCTAGAAAGAGCTTAGGGTAGTTATCTAGGTGGGGCCTACTATAAAATCTTTTAGAAAGAGTTTAGGGCAATTACCTCAGTGAGGTCCATCATCTAAGAATATTCTAGAAAATCTAAGGTGGTAGAACAAAGTATAAATAGGACTAACTAAGACCTTTTGGGCATCTAGTCAAGTATGGCTTCGAACCTTTTTTCTAAGTAAAATTTGGTTTTGTATCATTCTATTCAATTTGGTTTTTTTCTATTTCCATTTGCTCAATTTTGTCTTTCGTATCCTATTCTGTTTAGTTTTATTTAATTTCGGTTTTGGTCAATTTTGTCCTACATTGTAATTTGGCTTTAAGTTACTATGGATTAGAAGGGTCTTAGATTCTCAAGATAGACCGGTCTTATTTCAATGTATCTTCTATCTTTGATATAAAATATTCCTAACTAATTAAACCAAATAAAGATAGATAAAAAATTAATCTATAAAAAATATGCAATTTGGAATGCATTAAAAAAATAAAATAAAAGACTATATTTTGAATCAAGTATGGATAATTTGAATATAATGTCATATTTTTTAGATTTTCAAATGTATCAATTGCTTTTAAACATTTAATGAATGATATTTTTTGAATTTTTTTGAATTCTTTTATTATCTCTTATTTAAATAATATTTTAATTTATTATAAGAATAATAAATAATATGAGCTTCATATTTGTCTTGTATTACAAAAAATTAGAGATGCAAGATTATATGCTAAGATAGAAAAGTAAATATTTTTCACAATTTAAGTTGACTTTTTAAGATATCTCATTTTGAATGATGGCTTTATTGTAGATTTTAAGAAAGTTAAGACTATCATAGATTGAAAGGTTTCAAGAATAATAAAAAATATCCAATGTTAAATGATCAAATAGGAATTATGTATATGTATATATATATATATATATATATATATAAAGCTTAATGGAAATGATCAAATAAGATATATATATATATATATATATATATATATATATATATATCGTAATAAGATATATATATATATATATATATATCGTAATAAGATATATATATATATATATATATATATATATCGTAATAGAAATGATCAAATAGGATATATATATATATATTTCGTAATAGAAATGATCAAATAAGATATATATATATATATATATATATATATATATCGTAATAGAAATGATCAAATAGGATATATATCTATATCTGGATGGTCTTAATGGAAATGATCAAATAAATATATATATATATATATATATATATATATAGATATAAAGATTGTTAAAACAACCACTAGAAACTCATGTCCTTAGCCACCTTGATCTTTGGCACTACTATCAATCTTTTTCCTTGTCCATTCATGTTCCCTTCTATCTTTTTCTTCTATGTGAGTTGTTTTACATAATAGATGAATAGTTCACTATTTATCACATTTAGTTTAACCTGCTATGACTATATACATTGCAAAATATAGCTATATTGTAAGTATGAATTTTAAAAAGGCAACTCAAATTCTGTAAAATTTCAGAATCTCAACAATCCAGTCGTGTATCAGTTCCTATCTTTAAAAGACAAAAGCATTCAAATTAAACTTCCACCAACTCCACACAACACACCACCCTTCACTAAATAGACAAATCCTTGCAATTTGAAAATTTATAACAAAAACAACCAAATAACTATCAGAAGTAATAAAACGGAGTCAAATTTACAATGAACAGAACTGAATCTTTCGCAACTTCACTCTCCATATTTCCATTGTGTCTAGTCTCGACACTCTGAGAAAATCAGACCCAAGTACTCATCCATAAAAAACACTTCACAAAGCCACCTCCCCTCAGTAACATTAAGATAACCTGCCAGACCCAGAGACGACCCCGACGGTGAGATGCCAGTGGGCTCCGACAAGGTACCCCAGTGGGGGATGGTGGGAGCGGGCGGGTGGGGTTTGCAGGGGAGGGCCAGCAGCCTTGAGAGAGAGGCTTCGCAACTCTTGCGTGCATTTCTATGCTGGCTTCACGTGGACGCAGGGCTCGTCCAGCAATTGCAGCAGCACAGCAGACAGACCTCGCGACGCAGCATCCGTGTGGTGGTGTGCTGCGCTGATCGAATCACCACCCCTCCCCCTTTTCCGCACCAGGAATCCCCCCCCCCCCCCCCCCCCCTTGGACCACCTCCTCCCTCCCACCACTGTCCACGCAGGCTCTGGAATTTAGACGCAGCGTTGCGAGTCGGGGCGGGGCATGGGCGACGAGTTTGGGTTGGTGGCGGAATTGCGTGTACCAATTGTGGTTCTGTGGGGTGCTTTGGCGTGATCCGCGGCGGTTGGCGTCGACGGAAGAGGTGCGAGCGTTAGGCGATGGTTGTCATGACGCGCTCGATCGGGTTGTGGTGGTGAGTGACCGTGGTCGTTTGGTTGCCTCTCTTTTGTTTTTTGTTTTGTTTTGTTTTGTTTTTTGTTTGTTTTTTTTTTTTTTTTTTTTTTTTTTTTTTTTTTTTGGCTTTCTCTCACCCGCCACCCTCTACTTCCCGCGGTATCGATCTGTTCCAATGCCCCTTGGTCGGTTCCATGTACGAGACGATGCGCGGAAGGAGGCCGTGCGGTCGCGTGGTGGTGGAACATTTCCATGATGAGGGAAGGGTGGAACTTGCGGAGTCGTTGGGCGTGCGATTGGGCTGTTCGTGGGCGTTTCGGTTTGCTGCATTGGTGCGGTGGTGGAGGACGGCGATGGTTGGTGTGATGCGATGGCAGTCGCGTGTGCAATTGGCCGGTTTCGGGAAGGAGAGGAAGGGTGGTGAATCGGTGTCGGGGAGCGTGTGATGCGACGGCGATAGAACGGAGGCTGAGGGCAGTCGGCCCGCAGGACGAGCGTGCTGGATGGATTTTGTGTGCGAGCTTGGCGCGTGACTGGTCGATGGTAGCTGGTGTGTGAGGTGTAGGACACGGCGATCGGGGCGCACGCGGTGGGGAATTGGTGGAGATGCCATGGATGGTTGAGAGGAGAGGCACAACCGTCCGGGGAGAGGATAGGAGGGGGCATGAGAGATGCAGGGTTGGTGGAATGGATGATGAGAGAATGCCAGAGGTGGGCATGGTGCCGGTTTGCGGGTTGAAGTTAGGGTTGGGTGCGGAGCGGATTGGTGTGGGATGTAGAGCTTGCGTGCCGATGTGGGTGGAGAATCCGAGCTACCGATGATCGTCCAGCAGGGGAGATGGAGTTTGAGTGGCTCGTCACCTTTAGGCTGATCAGCGGAGACGTTTCGAGGTTTGCGGGAGCGTAGGCGCACGAGCTACGTGTGGCGTGTGAAACGAGCTGCGGTAGCACTTGGTTGTGATGGTCCAGGACATTTTGTGTGCGTCGCGGTGGGGATCGCTAGGCTGTCGTGCGCATGTTTTACACCTGGACTGCAATTGCGATCGCAGGCGGGACTTGTGGTGGACGGGGACAGTGGTTGATTTAGGGTTGGACGTATGTGATGATGTGCGCTGGTGATTTGACGCGGCGGACTCGCAGCGCAGTGAGTGGTGTGGATGGGTTGGAGGGGATCGGGTGCGTGATGTCTGGTCGTGGTTTGGAACGCGTGACGAGTGGTCCGTTGTGTGTGTGTGTGTGTGTGCGTGCGGTCGCGCGCGAGTGTTGGAGCGGGTTCTAACCTGGGTGGTTGGTTGGAGTGAAGGAATGCAGAAACGTGTGAGAAGGAAGTGATGCGGAGGGCTTCGTAGCGATCGCAATGCGTTGGAGGTGTGAACGCAAGGTGGGTCAGGGTTGAAACGCGTGCACGAACGGAGGGAAGTGAATTGGGTGCAAGAGTTGATGAGATGCATGAGAATGTTGGTGCAACGGGCGATTGGAGTGGTGTTGTGGCGTTGAGGGGTGGTGGCTGTAGCTGGGCGGCATGCGTAGGGTGTGTTTAATGCATGACAGTACGCGGAGGATGTTACGAAGGTGTTGATTTGGCGTGGACGATGTTGGGCGTGGTAGAATGTGGGTGGTGCGTGGGTGCCGTGGTGGTGAGCGACTGCGATCGCTGTTGTGATGATAGTAGTGGAGGTTTTGTGGGGGACGAGTTGAGCGGAGAGTCGGGGATGATGTGAATGGAGGGGTGGGGCAGTGACAGTCGGAGGGGTGGAGTACGCGAGGACATGGTGGATAGAACGAATGGGTCGGGGGGAGTCGTGTGCAGATGTGTGGGTTGGGTATGTGCGTGGTGTGATTGGCGTGTTTCGGCACACAGGGTTGGGTGTGATGTGAACGCTTGCGGTGAGTGGGGAGCTGGGCGACATGATGATGGAGAGCACAGTCTGATTGAGTGCGTTGTTGATCGCAGGCAAGGCATGTATCGGAGGGCGGAATGCAGGATGGGGCGTATGGCAGTCGGCATGTGAGCAGGACGATGTGGTGGAGCGGACGTGGAGGCGGCGAGGACTGATGGTTAGGACTGCGGCATAGCAGTGCGCACGATCGGATTGGAGGTAGTTGTGGCGGAGTGGCGTGGGAGGGTTGGTGGGGTTCATATCGACCATGGCTCAGGACAATTGGAAGCAGGAAAAAGAGGAGACGAACTGCCAAGCCCCGGACGCACCAATAATGTGCACGAACAACTGTGGGTTTTTCGGGAGCGCCGTGACGCTGGGAATGTGTTCGAAGTGCTACAGGGACTTCGTGCTGACACAAGCGAAGAGCTCTTCCGGCAAGGGCGGTGAGAAAGGCGACACGTCGTGCGCAGCTCAGAAGGTAGCGGTGGGACAAAGAGGGGTGGAGAGGACGCAGGGCGAGAGCGTGTACTTGGGAGGTCACGTAGGTGGTGGGCAAACGGAAGGAGGAGGGACGTCGTCGGGAGGTGGGGCATCCGCGTCAGGTGGGGACGCGTGCAGGCCACAGGCACACCGGTGCTTTTCGTGCAAGAAGCGGGTAGGGCTGACGGGTTTCAAGTGCCGATGCGGGAACACGTTCTGCTCGTTGCATCGATACTCGGACAAACACAGCTGCACGTTCGATTACAAGACGGCGGGACGAGACGCGATAGCGAAGGCGAACCCCGTGGTGAAAGCCGACAAGGTGGACAAGATCTGATGGGTGGAGGGCGAGAAAGGAGGACGATGGTAGTGAATTTGCTAGGGCGAGCCGTGGAGCGGGTAGGGCGAGGGAGTATACCTGTGGGTGTCATGGAGATGGAGCAGGTGCAGGGGGTAGGAGAGTAGCTATAGGTGGCACGAACGTCCGATCCGGCTCAGAGCACGAGCAAGAGTGGTAGGGTGTGATGCTTACGTAGGATAAGGTAGAAGTTTTGGTGGGCTTGTACAACATGAGCACCGGGTGTGCTGTGGCTGTGTTCCTTCGGGTGACGCGAGATATGTAGCACGGGTGGTCGGGTCTGGGAAGGATGACTTGCAAGGTGTTGACGTGCAGGGGGAGGAGGAAGTAGAAGAATGTATCCTGGTATGTGGCGGCATGATGTGGACGTCCGTGTGTTGTATATATATATATGCAGTGAAAAGGTGCTGCAGATTTCAGCGTTCTGTGTTTGTTTGTGTACGCGTTGGATGTGCTTTTCGTTACATTGATTAAAAATTTGGTCCGATGGAGGTGCTGCAACGGATGGGTGTAAGCAGTGGGGACTACCGCGTCGTCAGTCGAGCTGCATTGGTGTTGTGCGAGTGGATGAGCAGATTTGGTATGGATGGCTGGTGTGGTGGTGCTGGACGGTTTGATTTTAAGGTCAAGTTGTAGTCCTCTTGTGTTGTTGGTCTGGTGTTGTATTGGCCTTTTGTATTAATACCAGGTTTTTTGTAGTTTTGTGTTTTTTGTGTTTGTGTTAGTGTGTGTGTGTGTGTGTGTGTGTGTGTGGAATTTTTAAACGTCTGAGTTCTCTTGGGTGGCGCAATGCGAATGAGTGAACGGAATGTGTTTTGCTTGTTGTGTCGTGTGTTTGTCTTGTGGGTAGGTGTGAGCAGATGACCTAACTCTTTGTGGCAACTAATTTAAGCATCATTATTTGCTTTGGAGTTGGCTTTTGATGAGTTTACATTTTTATGCGTGCGATACTAAAGTTTGGGTGTGATGGGTTGGTAGTTGAGGTTTGGTTGTACACAGTGGATTTGAAATTGCTCATTTAATTGTATTTGTAAGTTCGTTCTCGGGAACTGAGGGCAACTCCCAGTGAATACTTTACGTGTTTTTGTACCTGCTCGGCAGTGGACAAGCCTGGGAAAATTTTATCTCAATTGGATTTGAAAGCCGTCACCAATTGCTTTCATGGAGTTTTGCCCCGGCGGTGGAGTTCATTAGACTCACGTTCAGAAAAGTTCAAGCCCAATTATTAAGTCTTAGTATATGTCATAAAAAAATCCTTCGTGTATGGATATACCATTTGTTATATTTTTGGAAAATACGCTGTTTTTTTTAATTTTTTCTATAATATCAATTTAAAATATTTTCACACTTCTTGGGCATGAATGGTGTTGCGTGTCAAAGAACAAATTGTGGATTAATAATCAGACAAATATCTGTAGAAATTTTACAAATTATCATTATGAAAAGTACTTTATGACGTGACGTGACATCTTGTGCATAATTGATAAATTTTGTAGAATTTTATGGTATTTTCGACTTTCTCTTTCAATAGCTTTGAACTCTATTTAACATACACAACAAATACATACATCCCATTGTTTTAGGAAAACAATCCTTAGATATGTAACCACTCAAAATGTAAACCAATTTTATTAATTTGAAGCGAAAAAAACATTATAAACATAATCATTCATTTACACATCATCTCAATTACTGTAATATATTGTTATGCAACTTTAAAATTTTGAATTTGATGTAATGACACAAATCAGCATAATGAAGCGTTTTTATCTTTCATTATTCCTAATTACTCATCATGAATAAATAAAGAATGTTGCAACATATTCTAATCAAACTTTATCAATTTTGTTTCTGTACATAGATTTACGTCATTAATACGTCCATCCACGAATGCATAATTATGCAACCAAAAATGAAAATTCTGTAGTGTGAAAATTTCAACATAAATTGGAATTTAAATATAAAAAAGAATATATAAATTCTGTATATATATATATATATATACATATATAGAAATTTCACACTCAGGAGAATTAACATATTCCCTTTCTAAATAATTGGAATTTAAATATATATATAAATATAAATATAAATATATCGAATAAGTGGTTTAAAATGAATCTTGCAAGAATGATATTTGTGTGGAATCTGAGGTCAACCCACAGACTGGGTGAACATGAGCGCTGTGCCCTGCTGATGTGGCAAAAGGAAGTAATGGGAACGTGTAGGGAACAAGGGAACATAATGGGAACGGTGAGCAGATTTACGGCCCCGCTGGTGAGCACGTACAGCAGTACTTGTTCCCAATCATGGATCTTAACGATGCAGGAGTGACAGGTGGTAAGCAACATGCACACCCTCCTCCTCCTCATTATTGCCATGGAAGGGAAGGGGGGGGGGAGGGGGAGGGTGGGCCAATAAAGTAAACTTCACCTTTACTCCTCCACTTTGACTTTTTCATATGTTTCACATCCAGAGTGTGAAAATTTTCATTCACAAGAATGTCTCCATGTTGAATTTTCAATATATGCAAAATTTGTAAAACAAGGTGCACAATAAATAAAGACGTAGAAAGATGTTTGTTTGAGGGGATAATTTTGTGGTGTCAAACTGCATGGTTCCTATTGGGGATGGACATTGTTGTTTTCTAATGGGATGTTGTCTTCAATTAACATTAAACTTCAAGCTTTAAGTTTCTTCTTGATCAAATAATAGTTTGTAATATGGTTTTGACTTATTAGAGTGTACACATAACTTGCTTGATTGCCCTCTTCATTGTTCTTTGTATTTAAATAAATTAAACAATGTTGTTTCAATTTGCATTGGATCATCCTGATTTTGTATGAAACTACTTCTAATGCTAGATGTAATTTGGTGTAGTCATTAGATGAACACAATTCCATCTAAACTACTTCTTTTCTTATATTTGAATAGTTAATTGTTACATAAAACCATATGTGCAATGAATCTAAAAGTAGAATAATAAATAAATTATATATTTATATAGAGAACATTATATGATGTGGTCACTCATTTAAATTTGCTATATATATATATGTACACATATATATACATATTTTTTATAAAATATACTAGAATATAAAAATATATATATATATACATTTTTAATTAATATAATTTAATAATAATAAAATAAACATTTATAAATATTTTTTGTAGCTTTTATTAGAAGCTGATAAAAAATTAGACAATAAAATTCTAATATTGTTTGTAGTTTAAATAGAGACATCTAATGTAATTGCTAGACATGGAATTAATTTAATTGAATTATTTTTTAGTCTTTTTTTTTTTTTTTGCTAGGTTTTAATGTTTAATTAAAAAAAACTGAAGACTATATTATGTATTTCTTTCTCTAATTATTGAATGTGATTTTAATATATATATATATATATATATATAAAAGAGGTCTTGATACATTTAAGATTTCTTTATTTCTTTATTTTTTAAAAACAAAATGGTATAAAAATTTTAAATATACAAATTGGATATATATCACAAGAGAATAGAATATTAAGAGCCAGTACAAAAACAAAGAAGAATTGTAGTTTTAGATTATAAAAAAGTGAAAGAAAATCCATAAAGCTCAACTTATATTTATAAAATCATATTCACTAGAAATGCACAAAATAAAGAGTAGAAATTTAACCAACAAATATCTAGATTAATAATAGTTTAACGATTCTATAATAATATAATAATCAAATAATACATATGATCAGTTATCTGTAAATGTTTATCTTTAAAATTTTATATTCTTAAAAAACATAAAATAAAATAATGACCTTGTAGTAAAATTATATATATATATATATATATATATATATATATTACAAATTCATAAAATTTTATTTTTTAAATTAAGATTTTTATTATTAAAATTTTTAACTCCAAAAAAAAATTAAGATATTTAAGTTGTACTAATAGAACCTAAATTTAATCTAAATTGATTTGTTTTAGTTTTTAATATGTCCAGAATTTGAAAGTTTAGTAACCTGAATTTAACTAGTTAAGTGTAGAAATAAACTATTAAGATTAAAATGTAACAACAATTGTAACATATATCATGTTAAGATACTGCAGTACTATAAATCACAAATAAGACATTCTCCTAAAATCTAAAATAAAATTACTTTACATAAATAAGAATATATTATTTTATGTGTATAATTTATTATTATTTTATATTTATAATTTTAGGATAAATTATACTTTGAAAATGCATAATATACTTCTTGGAGTTGAATATGAATTACCTCTAGAACCCAATCATGTGATTCATTGCTATCAAATTACAACAAGTAATACCAAAATCATCAAGTATTGAATTTTATCAAGAAATTTCTGTGATAGAATTCTGTTATTGTGATTTTTTAATAATCTATATTTAAAAAATTGATGTTCAATTGCAACCTCAGCATTTTCATTGCATTACTTTAAAGTAATAAGAAAAAAATTCTTAAGTTTTTTCTTTTGTAAATCAGTTATCCTATAGTTTTTTTATATTTTTGATTGAGACAATTCTTTAACAAGAACATTTATGCAAAGATCTGTCAAAACCATGTTCATTATTCTCTGTTGCAAGCAAAAGCTTCATTTTTTTATTGTATTTTATTTAAAGAAAAATTATATGTCATACTGTGAGAATGTTGACATTGAAAGCCTTAATAAAGTCATCAATGAAGTTTGATCTTTTTGTTGCTTATTCAAGAAAAATATATACTTGTGTTTATCTCCAAAACCTCAAACAACTTCCTCGTTCTTGAAGACTCAGTTCCATTGAAGCCACATGAAGTCTTTTGGAATATATATACATATATTTGTAGTATTGAATGGCGATTGTTTATGAAAAATAGTAATTGTGAACATCCTAGGAAACCAATTACAAAGTTTCTATTTAAACTCAACTAAGCATCTTCACCTTTTTGAGTTCTAAAAACTAGCTTGCTAAATGTATCATCTGTAACACTTTGACTTCCATAGAGTCCCAATGTCATGCACAGACTGAAAAGTGTTATCTCTTAAATTAACTTAGTTGGTGCTCTTCTTTAAATCAATGTGTACACTATGTCAACAACCATACAGTGTTGAAGGAAAAAGGTGTCAGTTTGCCCAAGTTTGGCACTCAAACAGACATATATTATAGCAACAATGGTATTTATTAATTTTGTTTATTTTGTTTGTCTGTATGTGTGTAGGATGAGCACAATGAATATAGAAACTGAGCATTAATGATGTCAATTGTTGATGATCTGAGTTTGATTCTGAGACTTGTTCAATACAGGAATACTCTTCCTTCTTCACCTTCAGACATCTCAACACATATTAGCATGTTTGACAACTATTAGGTGACAGAAGGTTTATTTTAGACATTTGCCTCTTGACATTTGATAACAATAGCAAAGAATTGAAAGCAATGAAATCCTCATGTGCAAGATTGCAGCCACTTTTTGCACCCAAAACAGCAAGGAGGCCCTTGAAGGAAGTATGAAAGAAATGAGAGAGAGAGAGAGAGGGAGAGAGAGAGAATGTATGTGTAATGTGGGTGGACACTGTACTCAATACATGTTTTTGAAATAACATGTGCACTTCAAAGCAAATATTCAAAATGTTGGTTTGTATTCTTTTTACAATTTTGAAGTAGTGATTCATATAAATAGGGTCAATTTAATACCCTTTGTTTTTATCTGCTTTGTATCCACTTGCATGGAACCCATTCAACCTCTGACATGACGAATAAATGCGCAATATTTAATAGTTTCGTCTGGAGCAGTAATCATAAATGCATCAAAGTTCATGGAATTGAAACATGAATTTTAGTCCTGCTCCCTCCATTTGTTTGAGTGTGTCAGGGGGCACATTTCGCCCCGACTCATGTAGTGAATGTAATTAACTAATTAGTTAGAGGTCTGTAGTGCTTTTAGTTGTAAGCACAATGTGGCGCGAAGTTTGTTTTTCAAAATATGGTTCTCTTTGCAGGGACTATATGGTGATGTATGGAATTAGAACAAAACAAGAATTCATTTCACATAGATTTGTCTAGTGTGTGTGTTTTTTCTTTTCCTTTCTCTTCTTCCTTTCTCACTATCTCCAAAAGCAGTTCTCAATACAGAATTCAGGGTAGTGCAAGTAGGGATGATGTTTATGAACATGGATTCATTTTCACTTCTGAATGGAGGTATACTGGATTTAAAATTATAAACATAAACAATAAGATAAAATATGAAGTTTTTCAGCCAGATATCCTATCTCATAAAAGAACCTCTTTACCATCTGTCTATCCTATCATTGAATCATGTGATTTTATAAAGCATTTGATTTAATGATTACAATACAAAACAACATTGATTTATAAGAGTAAAGTAAACTTTTCAATACATTAAAATCATAAATACAGCGTTTGTACATTATACACCAAAAATAAAATAAAACCAAAATAATCAGCAAGATAAGTTAAGGGAACGCACGACCTGAAGTACGTCCAAATACCCACACATTCTTTTATATATAGAGAGAGGGAGAGAGAGGGACACCGTTGGATGCGACTACCTTCGGGTGTCCCATTTCAATGGTTCATCGGGTGTTCACGACCATGAGGGGCACCTGCAGATTAAAGAGGTGATTCTCGGTCAACAACCTGCATTGCCATTACTCACATACACCTGGTCTGGACAGGGTCACACTGTGGAATCCAATATAAAAAAACTGCCTGGGCACCGTCCATATCTAGACCGACCCATCGATCCATCCATCTTCTGTATACAGACATAAAACACGGAGATCGATGGAGCGAGAGAGCGAAAGAGCGAGAGAACATGAATGGGGTGGGGTGGTGTGTGTGCTCCACTAGCACTAACTTAGTAGCCGTGAGGGATTTACACTATGCCCCCCAACTGGACTCATTGCAGCACACTCATCGACTAGGCCGGTATCTTTCTGTCTGTCTGGCCAGCTGGGCTGGCTCTTCAGTAATGCTCCCAGTGGCGCTGTGATTCTGTGTTGGAGACCATATCCTTCTCGAAACACGGACGATCTATATTCGGCCGCGGTGCCACTGCGGCGAGAAAACAACACCCCAATATTTATATATAGATGCGCATTAACAATATATGTGCACTCAGCCGCAGGCCAGGCGAATGAAGCAGCCAGCCCATGACATTGTGCCGTGCTGTGTATTTCATCCATCTGCCTTGCATGATGAAAGCCAAAAGTCTGAATATGCTTTTTTGAGTTTCAGATTTAATGATTTAATTCCACTAATTCTGATATGGTTTTGTTCAGTTTTGCTAAGTGCAGCATAGTATATAGTGAGATTTTTTATTTTAAAATTGCATGGGAAACTTAATATTGTATGCTGTGTTTTTATTTATTATTTATTTACTTTTACTGACATCAGCCTTTTGTTTGTTTATGAGAATGTACCTTATCTATTCATGTGCATGTATGCCAACAAACATGCAATGACCATCTCGTTAATTTTAGGCTATTGATGAATAAAATTCATGATTATATATATATATATATATATATGTGTGTGTGTGTGTGTGTGTGTTGAGAATTCAGTATTTGTATTTCCTCACAGTTTTGTCATTTTGCATGTGGCTTCCTGCTATATGTCATTTACTTGTGGATGTGTGTATGATGAGTTTTTAACTGTATGTGTGTACATATATTTGTGAGATGGATATATACATGATATAAATTTATTCAATCATTATTATCAGACTTGTATAAAAAGTGCAAAATAATTAATAAATATACCATAATTATTTGGTTACCTAGTAATACATTCCCACAAATAATAATTGTCTGGTTTGTCAAGACTGATTGCAAACCTATGGAGCCACATTTTTTCTGTTTAGAAAATAAATGTCAAGATCCAAAATAATTTAATTCAAATCTATTCCACATTTTTATTTTTTATGTAAATGAAGTGCCAAGCAATTTGATTTAGTTTCAATATTTATGCAAACAAAATAAATGCATTTTGGCCTAAAAAAAACCATCCCTCTATATTTACACACATGGTTTATTTTTTTGCTTATTTGAGGGGTTTGATTAAGTCACAATGTCATTACTTTGGATTGAAATAAACCACAGAAATCAACCAACATTACATTGATAGAATGTAAAGTCTTACCCTATGTAAAGGGTCATGGTTTTGACTTCACCATGTATATTAATAAGGGGCCTTATGACAGGGGCTGGGGCCAAAGTGAGAGTGACGTCATCCCAACTGTATGCGTGTGGGGCTTCTGGAAGGTACCACCAGCTGTACAGATCAGGGCACAAGCAGAAGAACCTCGGACAGCCAGTTGCCGGAATGGTCTAGTGCCCCGGATGCTGTATTCAACAGCCTGTGTCGGAGTTTCATTCGTTATAATAGATGAATGTTTGTCTCCGAGGTTCTTCATCGGAGTCGCTGTCGCCACCTGACAAAGACATTCCCGGGCCCACCTACTTGCGTATGTTCGTCTTTCTGTTCTCTCATTCGTTCGTTCGTTCGTTCGACAAGACGGAGAGGTTTCACAGAGAAGCGAAAGCTTTGATGCTGCGCCACTTGGGAAGCGTGAAACAGGCAGAGGCAGTGGTAGCAGTAGTAGCAGTAGTTGCAGCAGCAGAAGCAGTCTTCGTAGCCGTCGCAGGGCGAGGAGAGAGGGCGTAGAAGGAGGCACAGGTAGTTGGTGCAGCACCACCACGATGAAGAAATCTCTCTGCAGCGTGCTGACACCATGCAGGCGCACGTCAGAGCTTTCTCCTACCCTTGATCGTACAATTACTGCAACAACTCCCGTGGTGCGCGCACTGTCTCTCTCGCTCTCTCACTTCCTCGTTCATTCTCCTGCTGCTCTTCTTCTTCTTCCTCCTCCACCACCACCTCCTCCTCCTCCTTCTTCTCCTCTTTTTTCCCCCCCTTACTCTATTACGCATAGCCTCGAGTATTTAGTTCCAGTCCGAGTACGTCCGAGTGTTGACCTTAAATGAGGATGATCGTAGTTCGTACGGTATTGCGGTATCGATTCAGGTGTGCAAGGTCCAAGGAGTCAGGGGCACTGCTAGGGTGCTGTTGAAACGTGATAGAGGGAAGGAAAGACCAATGTGAAGGGTTGCTCGGAGTTTGTTGTCGTTGACGGATTTCTATTTCAGATATGGCAACTGGTTGGTCCCTGCTGCTGAGATGTGACTTTGTTTGGGAGTTTTAAAGCTTATGAGGCGTAAGTGCTCAGTGATGTAAGTAGGATTATTGTCGTTGAAACAGTTTTGTGTGCGGGGGGAGATGTGTTCACAAGTTATGTGAATTCATCTTATTTTTTGTAAACTTGATGACTTTGCTACGGTGTCTTGAAGTGGCGGCGATATTTTTTCAAGCCGTTCGTAGGATTTTGAGGCATGCGCCTAGCATTGAGGATAGGTGTCACGGTGCTGGTGTTTGTTCGACGCTGTTTGTTCCACATTGCAGTGTCAGTCATCTATAGCGATTGAGAAGACTTCCTGGGTAGACTTTTGCTTTGATGTTGTCGTTCTGTTTTTTTTCAGCGTGCGTGAGGCTCTCGTCGAGTTTTTTTGGAAATTTCTTCCATTGACGCTGAACTCTTGGCACTCATGTGTACAGTATCATGTCCCGGTGGTTGCGAGTCTGACGTCTCCTCCCTACGCCTTCTTGCAGGTAATGAGCTCTCTCAAGATGTTAATTAATGGTAGATCTTGAGGGAAATGCGTAGTATTCGGTGTAAGAACAAAGCTTCATGAGATCTGATAGATTATGTTAACTACCAGGTGAATTTACGGACTGGTAACCGATCTCTGAATGATGTATTTATACGTAACAATACCTGCAGTATGTAGCTCAAATACATGAAGCTTGACCTCCACAGGTTGACATGCTGGGTTTTCAGGTTCAGAGACAAATTCTAATGAGAGCTGAAGAGGGAAGCATCGTCACGACTAATGCTGAAAATCCTTCTAAAACTTCTGTCTCAGCTATGAATAATTCACCGTATTGGTCTGTCAGTTGCTCCACTGAAATGCGATAAGTACTCCTCTCAGTGGTTCCGGCGCTTCTAGCTGAGAAAGTGCCAGCGGAAGCATCACTTTATCCGGCAAATGAGAAACTGAGGGTTTTGTGACCATATTATGGATCCTGTAACTCGTACAAAAACTTGGCGAATCGTGCTTCCTGAGAAGGCTTTCTGTGGACATCCGCTACCATATATCAAGAGAATGTTTTTATTGTAGTAAGAACCTGATTGCCGTTGTACTTAATGCTTCCGATCCTGTAAGACTGAAATTATGTCTGAGGAGCATCTCGAGATGGAAGTTTTGAGAGTCATCTCAACCGGACGCTTTATGATTGGTGGGATGCAACTAGAGACGTTTACCTCGAAGTAGCTTCCAGAAAATATTATCGGGGCGCTTTAGTTTGCTTACATCTCGGAGGCGCTCAGCGAATTTTCGAGCTTGTACAAAGGAAGTGAACTGTGTGGTTATGGGCGTACGAGCTATTTCTCAACCTTGAACATACTCTACGCTTTTGGGCTTCGACAGTGATACAGAGCAGACTGTTCTAACGCGTAAAGACGCTTCTTTGATGAAGGGATTGTATCCTCATCTTAGTAACAAAGCTCTACACAACGAGGAACGAACAGTTGTGCAGTGAAGGATTCTCGACTCCTCGCGCATGCATTTCTACATTTATCAATATTAACCTGTGCCTTTTCAAGCATCATTTCGTCTCATTTTTACGACGGAAATTTAGGATCTCGCTACTCAAAATTGGTATGAGGAACAAGGGAAGCTTCAAAATTAGACGATCCTCATGTTCTACGTACAAGTGGATACATGATCTGGCTTGTGGCGATGGAAATTTATGGTGAAGCGTTACTTACGAACACTCGTTGAGAATTTGAAGGAGATTTAGAAAGACGTTGTTCAATCTTAGAAGGGTCAAATGTCGACCAGGAGTGGAGCCAAGAGGGGCTCAGACTCCAGTCCCTGCATCTCCAACGGAAGCTCTAAATCAAAAGTTGTGCTGAGAGGTGGGAATGGAATATACATGCACAGGGCTACTGGCTCTGGACGGCTAGGGGTAAAATGGTGGAAGGATTCAGGAATTACCTGTATTAAGCCTAAACAGAAGGATTCTGAAGCTGGATCCAGGTATGGTCATAATTGGCATACTATAGCATTCATCATGTGGGTGGTTTTTATGGGTGCTGTTTCTGTGTCCGTTTATTTCGCCATGAGATTCGACATGCTTGAACGAAGAAGAGAAAATCTTGCGAACATGTGCGAGGGACGGGCTCGTATGCTTGAGGTAATAAACTGCTCTCTTCAAATCCGTTGCTTGTCTGTTATCACTAAGCATTTGCAACATTTATGTGCTTAGTAAAACGATGATCTGATGTGCGATGTGTGTTGAGCATATGAAGATAGTTTGAATATATGTCAAAGTGGAATTTTCTTGTATGTGTTATTGTTAGCGGTCATTTCTAGCTCAAATTTTAAGGTTGTGAAGGTGTGTGAGAACCCGCATCTTCTTTTATTTTTTTCTACTTTTTCTTCCCTCGTACTTTCTTAGTATTATAATTGAAGTCCATAATTAAAGGTCGCACTTTACTCCTGATTGTGTACTAACTTCTGAACCGCCGTAGGTCAAAGTGATTATTTCTTTTGTCCATTGTTTGATACCTATATCTATGCATGTGTACCATGTTTTCACCTTCATTGCTAGTGAAGAATCAAAATAAAGTATGTCTATTAAAACATCATGTGCTCAAAACGCTAAGCAGAAATCTTGGTCAGTTATGTTCGAAAGATGTTATGAAGTCAATTCGAATGTTCAAGAATTAATGATTATTGTTACAAGACAAGTTTAAAGAACTACTAGTTACGCATCGTGAGTGCTCTCAAATTGCAGGAGCAATTCAAGGCAAGTATGAACCATGTCAGAGCACTCACGGCTCTTCTCACTACTTTTCATCTTGGCAAGCAGCCCTCAGCCATCAATCAGGTTTCCTACTAATCCTTGAGAGCTTGTTGTCACACGAAGATTTTCTAACGCCATATTTTTTACACCGCATGCAATTACTTGGTCGATTTTAAAACACGGTTGTATTCATTCATTTTTAATGCATTCTCTCGCAGGAAACCTTTGCTACCTATGCTGAAAGAACAGCATTTGAAAGACCGTTGATGAGTGGGGTTGCATATGCCGAGAGAGTCCTTCATGCGAATCGAAACTTGTTCGAGTCGAAACATGGCTGGACTATCAAGGAAATGTTTTCTAAAGAAAAGCAGCGAGATTTTGACGAATACGCCCCAACTACCATGACTCAAGAGACTCTCTCCCATTTGACGTCTCTTGATATGATGTCTGGTCAGGTTTGTATCTTTCTAATTTCAGCCCTGTGGTTCTCGAGGTAACCCAAAAATGCTCATGATGAGACTCTAGTTGAATGCAGTTTCTTCCCGAATTAGGATTATGATAACAGTTTCCTCAGCTTCAGATATGTTTCATTCTCGTTTACCAAGTAATATTTATCGAACCTCCCCGCCTTCAAGCACGCACCTCCCGCTACAGCCCAAATGATTTATAACGGGTGCTGTGTACTTCGCCGAACGTGCATTTCGTAGTAAGGTGGATTTATCTAGCTCATTTTGGAATTGGTAAATTGAAATCTAGATGAACTTTCTGTCCCGATCATGCAGGAAGATCGCGAAAATATCATACGAGCGCGAGAGTCGGGAAAAGGAGCTTTGACGAACCCCTTCAGGTTACTGGAGTCTAAGCATCTTGGAGTAGTGTTTACGTTCGCTGTATACACCACAGACCTGCCAGAAGATGCAACAAAGGAGGACCGAATTAAAGCAACCGCTGGGTACATTGACTGTTCGATTTCTTGGTGGTTTGTAGTGAGTCTCTTCTGGGATTGTCATGGAGTGTAAATGAGTGAAAACAATATCTAGGAAGCTGGGCATTTTATTACTTACGCACATATTGCAACTTGAAACCATGAACGTCGCAGTTATCTGGGTGGAGCCTTTGACGTCGAAACGCTTGTGGAGAATCTTCTTCGACAAATGGCTGGTAGTCAGATTATTGCGGTCAACGTATATGACATTACAAATGAAACGATGCCTCTTGTGATGTATGGCTACACCAACGTTGAAAAAATGCAAAGCACATATGTCAGCGACTTGGACTTTGGAGACCCTGCCCGTAGGCATGAAATGCGGTGCAGGTTTGTGCATTCATTCCTTGCGGTGTTTTACACCGCATTGTCACTTTGACTAATGCTTGTTGATAATTGTTCTCCTTTTCATTCCGTCAGCTAAGAATTCAGAAGTTACAAAAAACATATTTGAAGTACACAAATTAATGGATACGAGCCAGCGAATGATCTTCATGCGAGCTAATTTGCTTCCCATTGTATATAACTCTTTACGTTTGTGACCTGCGTGTTCGTATTCAATTGACTCGTATCAGATATTGGCGGCAGCTGCTTCAAACGCTTTATAATCAACATGAGTAAATCAAACTAGCTTGGCCCACATTTATTTGATGGAGCGACGATATTCTTTGTTCAGGGAATATCGAAAGAGACATCAACAGAGGCAAAATGTGATGACTCACAACTTTTTGATTGTTGTGTAGGTTTAAAGAGGATGCGTTGCCTCCTTGGACAGCCATATCCACTTCTATAGGTATATTTGTAATCGCATTTTTGGTCGGACACATGCTACATGCTTCAAGGAACCGAATCGATAAAGTAGAAGAAAACTGTCGCATATTTCAGGAGCTTAAGATGCGTGCAGATGATGCTGTTATAGCGAAGTCTCAGGTATGCTATCTCTACTTTCCATCGCACATCTCTTCCACTTGTGCGTTATGGGACTTGACTGGTAACATAACTAGAATATTTCTAACCAGGATTAACAATTTGCATGACGATTTATTATTTATTATTTTATTTTATTTTATTTTCTCACGTAAAAATAAAACAAAATAACACACAAGCATGAAATAACGACTTGTTGTTGAACTTGTGCAGTTCTTGGCAACTGTGTCTCACGAGATTCGGACTCCAATGAATGGTGTTCTAGGTTAGTATAATATATCCACAACACTTGAATTTCATACTTTGTTATTTCTAAGTAGAATTGTGCGCATATTGTCTGCTTATGTACATCTCTGTGATGCAGGAATGCTTCAAATGTTGATAGACACTCCGCTGAATCCAGCGCAATTAGACTATGCCCAAACTGCTTTAGCCAGTGGAAAAGCACTTATCAACCTCATAAATGAGGTCCTTGATCAGGCTAAGATTGAATCGGGCCGTCTAGAATTTGAGCATGTTCCCTTTGATTTGCGTGCCATCCTTGACGATGTGCTCTCCCTCTTCCATGGAAAATCAAGAGCTTCGGGCATCGAGGTATGAATTCAAGATTTGAACCGTCCGTGACTTAGATGGTATTATATTCTAAGCTTACCATCTACAATTGCAAACATAACCGTCTGAAGGGGAGAAAGGCGGATTGCGTAGGTTTGGGCTACCTGTTATTTATTTAAGTCGAGTTTTATAATACTTTATTTCGTTGTATTCTAAGTTTTGGTTGTTGCTTGAATCATGAGCAGTTAGCGGTTTACGTTTCTGCGAGGGTTCCCAAAATTCTCGTTGGTGACCCTGGTCGTTTTCGGCAGATCATCACCAATCTCGTTGGCAATTCCATCAAAGTAATCATTTGTTCTAAATGCCTCAACTTGCTTTATATGTCACATGTGTACTTGATTTCTGGGAATACCATCCCGAATCTTTCAAGTTCTCGCAGGCGATTTCGTGAATTAATTATGCTTATTAGCATTTAGTATCGTTTCTCAAAACTGTGGATGCTTCGTAGTAAATTATTTTCCTAGCAGTTTTGAAGATCCTCTGAGTTTTTCGCAAGCACTGCTTGGATACTGATTTTAATCTTTTTTGTCCACGCCTCAGTTCACCGAAGCTGGTCACATTTTTGTTTGCGTTCATTTGAATGAAGACGTCAACATGGTGATGGATGGGAGTGGAGGTGATGCTGACGATACTATGGATGGGGAAGTTGAAAGTGCCGGACCGCTGAATGACATGAACTACCGATTTAACACCCTTAGTGGCAGAGAAACTGCTGATTACCGAAACAGCTGGGAAATGTTTGAGCGACTGCTTGCGCAAGAACAGTCACACAATGATACTTGGAGTTACTCCGACTCGAGCGATGTTGTGAATCTGGTGGTCAGTGTGGAGGATACAGGTGTGGGTATACCCTTACACGTACAAGACCGTGTCTTTACCCCCTTCATGCAGGTAATACCGCTTGATCGAGATTTTGGGAGCACACTTTGAAAATGCATTTTGGAAAGTTTTTTTGAACGCTTGTTTTAACTGTCCTTTCCGGGTCTTCGATGTGTCTCGCCCACTTCTTGAAACAGTTGCCTCCTAGTCATGAAAAGGCGAAATTTTGTCTTTCATTGTGTAGAGGTGGATAACATTATAATCCGGTTTCCTTCACCGATAATCGGGTTCTCTAAAGACACTGAGAAGGGTTTGTAAATCACATACAGTGTTCGTGCAATTCTAATGTTTTTTAGGCGGATGGATTCTTTTTGCTTATTCATCCATTCTTGTTTTCAAGGGTAAGATTCTGTTTGTGACAACCGTTCGTATTTAATACGTGACTCCATCGAATGGCTGATTGATTTGTTCTCTGAATTTTGCAACTCACAATTTCTCTCCCTTCTTTTCTCCATGCAGGCTGACAGCTCAACATCTAGAAATTACGGAGGCACTGGAATAGGACTAAGCATCAGCCGGTGTTTAGTAGAGCTTATGTCAGGGGAGATGGGCTTTGTTAGTCGTCCTAAAGTGGGGTCCACATTCACATTCACTGTGGAATTGCAACGTGTACCCGCCAATATACCCGAAAGGATCCTTAGAGAGGGCAGGAACAGTTATCTACAAACGCCGCCACTAACTACTTGTTTCCAAGGAATGCGTGTACTCGTTGTGGATGGCAGAAAAGTCCGCTGTGAAGTCACTCGCCATCATTTAAAGAGGCTCGGACTCCAGGTACTGCCGTGTTTGTGTGTGTGTGCGCGTGCGCGTGCGTGTGTATGTCATCCTCTTCCACAATTTTCCGACTCTTTGGTTGTAAATTTGAACTATAACCTGTAAGTTATCTAGTGTCCACACATGTCGAAATTATCACGTCTCAGTGGATTGACTGCATAATCTTCATCTGCTGTGCATTTTAGATGGCAATCTATTACAAGTTCTCTTTTATCGCTTAGAGATTCTTCCCGCAGATTTTGTGAGCAAAATGTCCTTTTAATGTCTGCAACTAAAAAGACTTCCTGGTTTGTGAGCAGGTTGAGGTCGCCCACACTGTTAGTGAGGCTGCCGAGATTCTTTCTACAGTGGCTGACCAAGGCACTTGCAGCTCAAGGGGTTCACGTGGGTAAGTTTATTCATATAGCTGTGTAATTCAGCTGTCTTGTCTGAGCACAATATTTATTAAATGTTGTTATCCTGATATCAGTATGCTTGTTATGCGGCGGTCTGTTTTTTCGTCAGTTCTTGGTCTAATAAAGAGGATAGAGTGCGCAGCCATAACTAGCGAGGACCGATCGTTGTTTTCTTAGATTGGTGATGATAAAATGCTTTTTCTTCTGCCTTCTAAATTTGCGCATATATTTATGGAAGATCTGGTGCAATGTTACAGCTCCTTGGCAGGAAATATCGAAATGATTTTCGTGGACAAGGACGCTTGGGGTCCTGGAACTGGGATGAATTTTAGAAGCTTGCTTGGTGAAAGTGCTATCGGCCACTTGGGCTACCAAAGCTCGCGAACTAGTTACCAGTATCGCACATCAGGCAGAATTCCCTTTGGATACCCAGTGATTCAATCCATGAAGAGGATGGTTCTAGTTGCGACATCAATGACGGATATGGAGCTTGGGATGGTGAAAGCCAGCGGATTTGTGGATACTGTTGTTAGGAAACCACTTCGAGCAAGCTTGATAGCTGCTTGTCTCAAGCAGATTCTTGGGGTTGGGGACAGGAGCCGAGACCAAGAGCAGGAGTTGCGGAGTGGGGTTACTTCTCTACAGACTCTTTTATATGGAAAACGGATTCTCGTGGTTGATGATAATCCCGTGAATCGAAAGGTTGCAGCTGGGGCTCTGCACAAGTATGGGGCTCAAGTTGAGTGTGTTTACAGTGGAAGAGCTGCTATCCAGAAGTTGAAGCCTCCCCACAATTTCGATGCCTGTTTTATGGACGTGCAGATGCCAGAAATGGATGGGTAGGGTTCCTTCCACTCTTAGTCATCCACTCGTTGCAATAGCTGCATATAAGCCTGCATTAAAACAAATGGTAACTAAAGAGCTCAAGTTTGCTGAAATGGTCGTGAACCTTGTGCTTAATGTAACGTCAAAGAACATCGCTATCGTAACCGAATCCATTCTCAATTGAATGTTCCAATGTGAGTAGAAACGTTCGGTTTTAATAACAATCATCCTCTTAGCCTAATATTTATAACTGCAGATTTGTCATGTACACTACTGATCAAAAAACAATTCCTTGAACTGTACTGTAACAGTTTCGAGGCTACAGGGTTAATAAGGAAGGCGGAGGCTGCAGCCGCAGAGAGAGGCCAAGCAGCGGGATTGCCAACCTTTAAACGCCGACTGCATGTGCCGATCCTGGCAATGACAGCTGACGTTATTCAAGCTACCTCCGAAGAATGTATGCGCTGTGGCATGGATGGCTACGTGGCTAAGCCATTTGACGAACATCAGCTTTACCAAGCGGTTGCCAAGCATTTCTTCGACGTGAACTAATGTACAATATCACGCAGCTTCCACCGCGGGAATGGTTGAGCAGGGATATCAAAGTGTTATCAAGGTGTGAAATTAATCAAAGCGAACTTATTACAGTGGGAGGTGTCAGATTAGGCTTTGAATTTAGTTCGATGAGTTTATTGCATCAAGTATACGAATCTGGGATTAAGACCTTGTAGAACGGCTAAAGATTAGGTGCTGGTTCCTCTTACGTAGACCCATGTATGATACAGTTCCGAAGAAATTTGAATTTGGTAATGTGTGCGGCTGTCTCTGCATGCATGTGTAGTGAGCAGATCAATATCGCACAACTTGTAATAACTTAACCGGCAACATTCAGCATCATTGCGACGCTTCTGTTTCCAAGTGATTATCATTTGAATTAAACCCGTCGTATTGTAACGTGTACTCTATGTTCTGCTCTTTCTGTCCTTTCGCAGACAGTCAATTAGTTTCTCCCTCTTCAAAACTTTTTCAAGCTTCCTGAACCGTGCAATCTGTTGCATGTGTTTGTAATGGCTCATCGTGGGTCATCTACTGTTTCATTGCGAAGTTTACTTATGTAATCTTTCAAAAGTTCGACCTTCAACCATGTCAATGATACACTTGCTCAAGATTGTGCATACTACGTGGCTAGTTCGAATTCAAAACATATGTAAGAAACAAATGGAGTGTTTTTCGTGAACTGCGATGCACCCCTGACGAGTAGTTCAGGCTAATAACAAAGGCCAACGCTAGGAACATTGTGTTAGGTGCCAATTAAAACGACGCAGTTGACTGAGGGGTTAGTCCATAACAACCTAAAACTCAGGAAAATCAATCAATCATCCTCGAATGAATGCTTTAACACCTTCCATGAAACAGTTTTTGTCCTCTCAGCTGTGGCAATCGCTTCTTCGCTGAACTCTAGCACTTCGATCAATAAGCCTGAATTATTGACCAATTGTACCCTTATGTAGAACATGCTGCCATGCGCATGATTATTAGTACTAAAAACCAGTCTACACAAGTAATGAACCTCCCCAGCTTACCTACGCCATCTTCAGTTTGGCGTGGTAAAATGATTGCATATTCATGTGCGCCCCTTTAGAAAAGCTGAGACGAGATGTACTGCATTTTCCTAAATGTGAACGAACAGGTCAGGTTTACGATTAACAGCAGATGCTGAGACCTGTAACTTCTCAAGAACAATGCGAGCTTCACGCAGGCGCGTGCAGATCTCCTCATTGACAGTATCCACGTTTCGGAGTCCTTCAATTTCTTCCTCCCAAGATTCCAGTACTTTTTGATGCAGTCTAATTGTTCATGGTCAAGGCCTTCTGCATCCATGGAAATCAGCCATGCTCCAGCAAATGTGACCAATTAGATGTCCTTAAAAAATAGATATGGTATAAAATTACTCCAAATCTTATATTGTCTCGTTTCAGATTTCGGCTAGAATAGACGACCGGTCATTAGTGTGAGGGATTGATTAGTGAACGTTTTGAGTGTCCAAGAGTATATAATACACTAAATTGAAGCACAGATAGTTGAACAATGATATGTTTTCGACCCCCAGAACTTTTCCAAAGAGCTGTGTGAGGCTTTTCATCAAAGGAAAGTAATAGACGTAAATTCTAACTTAATAGAGAAAATTATTCATACACACGGACAGCGACAGATCTATCTCTATTAAAAACATTTTAGGATACTGTAATATTCCCTCTTCAAAGGCTGTGGATGCGTCTAGAAAATAAGCTTTGCCTGTCTCTAGCAATCCGGAGACCTGTTCATAAAACGATAATTGTACCAGCAGTAAATCACATTGGATAATCTACCTGGTTAGCCATGAGATTTTGAATTGCATCTCTTATTGTCCGACATATGTTACAAACATGATTCGAGAGATATCAGAGTTTCTTTGGTTAATGAATACGTGCATATAAAGCCGAACTAAATAAATAGTTTTGATACTCAGCCATAACGTTGAAACCACACCAGCGTTCAGCTAGTCTGGTGTTCCGTTGTACCCTCACAACTTTGGAATCAGTTCTTGAAACACTTGGACCCAATTTGCTGATTAAGGAGTTCAAGTGTACCTGATGAGTGAAGTCATCAACTCTCTCTCGAAGTTGCTGGATATCTTCTTCCATAGCCTTAGACAATATTACTTCATTTTGAAGAGTAGCTCCACGTTTATCTTCTTCCTTCTTGGGGGTATCCTTTTTAGAGACTCCATTTTCTCGACGGCGTTTCTTGCGTACCAACTGTGAGCATCCTTCTGCCAAGTCGCTCTCCGCAGAAGTGTGTCGTAGCCTTTGGTCGTCAGGATCAAAGCTAGCCAACTTTTTGCGCTGAACAAGAGAAATGAAAGTGGAAACAGCAAGAATTATGTATCATATGATCAATGATGGTAAAAAAATGGAGCAAACACCATCAATTGTGAGGAAACAGAGAGATGCCTTTGTCTAGTGTTCCACAACCCAAAGGACTATATTATGGTCATTTCTTGTTTCGAATAGGTACTTCGGTATTTCAAGTGAAGACATCGTGGCATCTCCATTGGTTCATACATATGCACGTTATGTACGTGCAAACTGTGAGAAATTCGTATACAAATGTTGAGTGCGTAGAAGAACACAAATGAGTTGCAAGAGTCAGAAATCCTCGGCGCCTTTCCTCAGAGTCAGGTAGACAGAGAAAAAATTAGCATCATGCATAATCTTAGAGATCTGTACATGACTTATCATATGTATGATTGTTTGTGCTTAAGTAAAACGATGATAAAGACTACGGTAGTCGAAATTGATGGCCGAGACGATTTTATACCTCTTCCGCGCTTTCATAACCGGAGCGTTCTTCACTACCTCCGCTGTTATTTCTACTATCCATAGAGGCAATCGTCACAGAAGTTCGCACAAAGATTCTAGGCAGAAAGCCGAAGAAGTGGAAATATCCAAATCCAGAGCCACAAACCTAAAGTCAAACTTCTTTTCAGCTGCACTTTAACCTTAGACTGCTGTAGACTGAGACAGATTCAGCACTAATTTCCAAAGAATTCTCCTGGCTATCGTAAACAGTGGATTGAGAAAATAAAAGCGACGTTTCAGCGAGGACCTTTTAAGAAGAAAGTAAACTTCGTTAGCGCCGACTGCATTTCTACATGTTACTCGCACAATCTATATCAGTAAAAGGAATAGATTCTGAATGCCATAATCGAAGGCCTCTCAAATGCCAGTTAAAATACATATAAAGTATCTATGGCTTGATACTTGAAAGAAGAACCGTCGAGCAGTTTTCGATTCAAAGATCTCATTTCACGTTTATTGAAACTGAAAGCTCGATGTCCACTCCCACAACCAATTGCGCTTCAGAAGAAAGTAATCAATAATCCTAGCAAGAGAAGTAGAAGAACAACGACAACAATCATTAGGGACATGGTGTATTCTGAGTCTTCTTCCGATAGATCCCTCTGAGAATCCAAGGATTTCAATCGGTGTCGGAACATAGTTGCTCAAATATTCCTTGTAAGTCTAGCTGAAAAAGAAAAAATGATAAAACTGACCAACGATAGCTAACTTGAAGTCAGCTTACTTCTTCTAAACTAGTGAAGACTAATCTTGAACTCTGCAGCAAACCTACTGTAAACTACGACAAATCTCATTAAAACTCTCGATTCTCAAAGGGAAAGAAACGCGAGTGTCTAATGGCGAAACGTGGTCTGGACACTTTTCAAGTGAAGAAGGATGCCAAATCCAGGGTTGACGCATCGCAAAGTTCAAATTAATCCAGTCCGGCCCGGTTATCGATACCCGTTCTTGATCCCGGTTCTCAATCCATCTTAGCAGATAGATTGAGATCCTGGTTAGGATCACGTATCGACGTCACATGATGGGACATTCATCGAAGAGATGGAGTCTGCTTTAGTTTGTAGCATCGGTCGTCAGAGATTTAATGCTTGCGACTTCTAAAACACCTTTCGAAACGTCAAACGATTAATATCAAATAAAGAAACAATCATTCAGTCTTGAAGAACTTTTTCTAAGTCTACCCTTCATGAACGGAACTGTGCTTTGATTCTCCAACTAGTGCAATCAATCTTCATAACTTTCTTCTGTAATTGTGTGAGCGAAGCTTCTGATTGAGTGTGCTTCTTTAGTTACTAGTTCGATCACTGTGTAGCTGTTCAAAAAATATGACCGGTGAAAGAATAAAATGGTTTTCGTAGCCATTGCAGTTACATGCAGAGGTCGATGCGTCTTTTCACTAGGTTTAGGTCCTGCTGATCAGGAAATAACGTACATTAAGCCAGTTGGTATAGAATTTTCCAGACTTTATCACGTACTTTGAAGTTTTGCTGCTCAATGTTGCGAAATTTCACAATAGGGTGCCAGAAGTCAAAATCGGTGATAATTCGAAGCTGAAAGGATTTATTGCCTTGTGACCTTTCGGAGTGGACACTGGGTGGGTGAGTTAGATTTTTCATGAATCTTTAGCAATGAATGGCAATGTACATCTCCAATCGTATTTAATGAGCGCAACCCTGTCCTTTTGTGTAGTGGGATGGAAAGCAGTCGGTACATCTTCGACAAGTCCATGGCCTAGGAGGTACATATCTTCTCTGACGTACATATTTGCGAATCGGAACTGATTTTGCTTCCCAAGCCTGATTGAAAAGGACACTCATCTCAGATGGCAGACTTCTCGGAGAGATAGGGGTTGAGAATGATACTTCCTTCTTCACATTTACATTGGATCCTTGTGCAGGACCTCAAGGTCTACGTTTCAAGATAATGAGAAGGTGCGACAACCAGGGCTTTCGTATGAAATAGGAGGTTCTCAAACAAGGACGCGTTCGGATCTTGTTGCAACGAGGTGTACTTGGTTCTGACCAAGTTATGTTGATTACTTTCCCTTTTCGACAAATATACTTAATCATTTTTCCTCAGGTTTTATATCCGAAAGACTGAAAACTCCGTCTGCGCAAGCTATCTTAATCGGCTGAGTCGATTTCATGGCTCATTTCGAGCAACGCCTTGTTTCCGTTAGTTCAGATGGAGCAATTACGTACGACCACGAGAAATCCTTTAGGGTAATTGTACTGTCAGTCAGCAACCGGCTTCCATGAACTTGGTTGTAGTGAAACAGGGTAACTCCTCAGACAACCTAGGAATTGCTGTGAGTATACCATTCTTGAGCAAATCCTTTTCGGAAAAGATGAACTGTAAACTGGCTCTACTGCAGCGAGTTGCAGGAAAGCGCGTCTCCTGAAAGTAACAACTCCTGTGCCACTTGCTTGCACTCTTTAGCAGATGCCTGATATGTTGAACGCTTCTGGAGTCTTCATCGGCAGCCGTTTGCGACAGATTTTTACTACGAATAACCACTTTTAACAGAAGTAGAAAAGCCTTGAAGGAGTGGACTCCAAGAGAGCCACCAATATTCTCCATCTTTTCAACGTCGCCAAATTCATGTCTCCAAAACTCGAGTGAAACAATCTTTCCACATTCCAGTTAATTTTAATTTTTAAAATATATTCAGTTTTATAGTTGCAGTTTTTTAGCACATAACCGTGAGCATTCAATAACAATTTATATTAGCCATCAAATTTTTACTATTATTATTATCATTATTATTATTATCATGAAAAATAGCATTTAAACATTCAATGGTGTCCTGGATATTAATATTCAAAGCTTCAAACATGAGCTAACATCGTTTTTTTTTTATTAATATTAAATTTTTTAAATTACATTTCATGATTATTTTTACTCCAAAAACATTGCTCATGTTATCACAATTAATCACTCTTCTCATCCCTATTTCAATGGTCAACAAATGCTCCCAACAAGGGGAAAGTTTAGCCTCGTGGGAAAAGGGACTGGTAATTTGATCCAGACGGGAACGCCTTTAACGCAATTCACCCGGTCGAGGAAAAACTGTTCCCCGACATCGGGAACGGGAGTAGAGGTCCACATGGGAATGAATGAAAGGCGTGGCAGTTGCGATGCGCGGGAGTAGGAATCCATTCATTACGACCTCGACCTACCCCTGCCCCCCCCACCACACAAACTACACTTCATGTGATACACAAAACGAGTAGGATCACATTTCGTTCATCTCAATCCATCCACTTCCGCGATATCATTCATCCATAAGCTGTGGAGCAGTTTTCAGTGTTTTACACTCGTCCACGTGGCGCCGATTATTTGGGGTGGGAATTCTAGTCCAATTCAGACTTGTATTTTAGGTGTTGAATTCAATAATATGTAAATAGTTTTCTAGTTATTTAAATATTTAAATAACTAGAACATGGCAGCTTGTACTGTGTCTTAAATGTGACTTTTTATACTGATATTTCTGTAAAGTCAAAATGTTTCTTTTACAAGATTATATATATTTGTACATACATACATACATACATAAGCTCACGTATTTAGGTACATACTTTATTATTTTCTATATTTAAAAATCTTACTTGTAGTGTAGTTTGATCAATTATACTTTTACCATTTAAAGAATTTTGTTTACTTTGTAGCATATTTTTAATTGCTAGATGATTTCAATATTGTGATTTAAAATAGTCTAGTACTTTCTATGGTTTTGATTTTGTAAGATTAATCAAAACACATACTAATTATGAATGAAATTGTGTACCATTACATTTTTTAATTGATAGATTTAGATTTGACAGAAAAAAAGACAAAAAGAAAAATCTTATAGGGTTTGAAAATATGTCTAATTCAAATTTAGCATTTACAATGGTAGGATTATAATTCAATACATATAGGTATGTATATATATATATATATATATATATATATATATGTATGATACATATACATATACATATACATGCATACATATAGTGTTCCCTCCAATATTAAATGCCAAAAAATTAATAATCTCCAAAAATTAATCAAAATGTTGAGAATTGACTCCATTTTTTGATGGAAAATTGATAATCTCTAATATCTAGTAATTAACTGACTTTTATGAATTAAGAGAGGGGACACGTGACAATACATAATTGGATAAGGCAGGGCTTCATGGGTACATGCAATTTGGTGAAGCAAAGCCACGTGGTCATCAAGGTCAAAGTAAGCACCCTAGTTTATAGGACCTTGGCAAGGATGATTTCTATATTGACTTTAATATGCCACATCTAATGATTAACAAACTTTATTAATTAATGTTTTTTTTTCCACAATACATAATAACAGTTAATGAGGAGAAATTGTATGTCTATATATGTATATAATCAAACATGTTTGAATAAATTTAGTCCCATCATAAGTATAGTTTTTATTAAAATTGTAACTACACATAAAATAAATATATGTCATAAGGATTTTTCATATAAAATTATAAAGTTAAATTTTAATTATTGGTTTTCTTAAAAAATAATTTGACAAATTCATTGCTTTTCTTAATAAAAACTCTCATGTTCTACCATAGAATTAAACATAAAACAGATTTGTTTTAGCAAACTTGGATAGCATTGTGACATTGTAACAACCAATAATACTCTGATAAAAGAATGACACTCAACAAAACAATCTTTTACAAATAAATTTATTTTACTTTTATTATTAAATAATAAGATGTTGTTTCAGACTTTAATACATAGTGCATGGTTAAATTTACTTTATTATAAATATTTATTTATTTATTTATTTGTATTCATCAAAATATGTAGTAATTTCTAATAATTAATTATATCTACAAACTTGTGTGCATATGAAATGAAAATGATACGTTTGATAGCTAAGAGTTGATTATTTGTTAAAGAAGGTCAAAATGTAATCCCAAGACATAAAAATAAGGGCTTATATCAAGAATTTTTTTTTAGAGATTAAAGATGTAGTTAGAGGTATAATTTTAAAAGAATTACAAAGGTGTAAGGTTTGTAAAGTTATGACTTTAAAAAAAATATTTATAATAAAAAAATCAAATTTGAAATTTTGTAGACAATAAAGATTTTATGGCATTAAAGATTAGTATAAAGTTTGAGTTTTTTAGTCTATGCTTAATTTACCATTGATTTTTTAACAATGCAAATATAAGAAAGAAGAAGAAGATATAATTCGTAAGTTTTTATCATTTTAATAGTAGATTGGAAAAATCCTTGCAAGCATAAGCAAGGAGGTACTAGAATTTGTTTATTTAAGATTAGCTCGAATATTACTTCAATGATGGTTTTATTGCAATAGCTATCAATTAGTAAGTTGGATCCTTCTTTAAGTTTGCAACCCAGTAAATGACTTAAAGAATCAATATTTCACAAATCTAATCTAACTACCCATTCATGATTTATATTTTGTTATAATTCACTAATTCACTGATATTCATGCATTTGAAAAATGGATTTAAAAAAAATATAAGATTAAATTTAATACTTTTGTAATAATGTTAAATTATTTATGAGTATGAACATTTATGATTCAATTTAATGTGATATTATATAAATATTTAATGCATATTAATTAACTAGTATTTAATTTTTTAATGGTTAATGATTAATATATTTAAATTATTATAAAAAAATATTCAAATATTCTAGAAATAAATTAGATTTTTTTAAAAATAATATACTAAATTTAATTCCTTCAAATCTATATAAAATATTTTGAATATTTGAAAAGTTAAGGTGTATTTTAAAAAAATTACTCTTATTAATATATAAATATTAGTTTAAATTATTCAAAAAATATTTTAGGTATTACAATGAACTTTATGAAATATAAATTTAA